ATATATTAATTAAGTATGTAATTTCATAAATATGAAGTCTATTCTTCGCAGGGCCAAAAGGGCCTGTTATTTACGATCCAAGGATGGTTAAAAACATCCTTTAACTGAAGTCGACTTTTAGGGTTCTTTTGCAATAATTTTGAAATGAGATCTGCTGCATCAGATCCGACATAGCTGGGAATTTTTAATTCCACCTTAGCTATTCTTTTATAGGTTGCATTTTTATCGATTTCTTCAAAAGGTGGCTTTCCTACTAAAAACTCGTAACATAAAACACCTAGCGACCATATGTCCACACTGAAGTCATGATCACTAGATTCAATCATTTCGGGAGGTAAGTAGTCTAATGTACCACAGATTGTCAACCTTTTTGTGGACGGCGAGTGTCGAACAGACCAGCCAAAGTCACTTAATTTGATTGAATTATCAAATGAAAGTAATATATTCTCCGGTTTTATATCCCTATGAATTATGTTCTTTGAATGCAAATAAGATAATGCTAATGCTACTTGATAAATGTAATGAGATGCGGTTACGTCATCGAAGCGCCTTTGCTTCTTCAAGTGCTGATATAATTCTCCGTGAATGGCATATTCTAATATTAAGTATACGTTCTTGGTATCATAAAAAAACCCATAAAGTCTTGCAATTTTGCAATGTACTAAATTCGCCTGGATCTCTATTTCTCTTCGAAAATTGTTTTCCAATTTTAGCTCATGAAGTTCCTTTTTTGACATAACCTTTAATGCACTAATGTAGCCTGATTCTTTGTGTCTCACACAATACACTTTACCCAATTTACCCTTACCCAACGTTCTCCCTATTTCAAAGTCTTCTAAAGAAAGCCTCTTGAATAGTGAGGATGCATTTTCAAGCAATACATCATTTAGATTACCCACTCTCTCGGTTGTAGGTTGATTGGATTTCTTCACTCGCTTCTTAGCTGGCAGCTTCACAGGAATATAGCTCGAGGACAACGAACTGGGCGACCTTTTTGAGGAATTCTTCACAATATTAGAAGCCGTATCAAACGTATTCAACTGAAATTTTGTCAATGGCCTTCTAGGTTGATTTGACGCTTGTAGCGCCGGTCGTGAAAGGGCTTCAGAAAGACTTTCAATTCTGCTCTCCAACCTTCGCAACTGATTAGACGAAGAGTTAGGTGACATCGCCTAATATGTATGCTGACCAAAAGTATAAGATTCAGAACTTCACAAACTTGGTTTTAAAGTTCAATTTCTTACGTGTTTAACAACCCCTTGGTGTTTTGCGGTTCTATGAACTAGTTAGACATCAAAAATAAACATCACGTGACTCGATATTCAGATCCGTTTCCACGTACAAGTCTGAAAAGAGAAGATTCAATTCGACCAGAACTACGCGGTCTAGCAGTGTCAAAATATTAAAACGTCTACATTGCTAAAAATAGTCCGAGAGTGAATCCGTAGTATATACAGTCTTATCAAGGAGCCGCCTTGGAGCCTTTCTCTACTCGTCTGATCTGCGAGAAGCTTGATCCTCAAAGTAGAAACGAGCTGCGCTTCACTGGTAAACATGTAGAATTAAAACCGAGATTAAAGCCGCAGCAAAAAAAATGTAGATAACGTTTGCTATTGTGTCTGAACGTGGACTCGGAAGACATCCCTGTCACCCGTAGCAATTTATCTTGCTCTCTATTGTAAAAATACTTCGCACCAAAGATTAAAACCTATTTACACTTCTGGCCCTCTTGTGATTAAAATACCGGGCTCGTGGCACTCCATCTGACTATTCAACCGTTATCTGGCACGGGAGACAGGGCGCCTGACCAGTTCTAATTTGCTATCTCCTTATTCAACAGTCAATCCATAGCTGCCTTTTAGCTGGCCAAGTTGTACCGTTTAAACAAAGCTGAACCGGGAGTAAGGAAAGGCACGGCTATATTACAGAAGAAACTTCGTTGTATCGCAGCTGCAGCCGAAGCTTCGTCAATTAGGCGGGAAAAATACAGTTTGGGATTTATGAATGCGGCTTGAACGTAGTAGAGTCGCATGTGCAGAACTTGGTACAAACAAGTAGCAGAACAAGCAGAATGCGTGTACGGCTGAGAGTCACGGTCGAAAAAGTCACAGATCGCTGCATCTCCCTAAAATCTTCTTCATGACTTAAGGTGGCTAGATTTGTCACCGATTAGAAAGAAAAGTGGAAGCATGATAACCGCTTAGATATGAACTTCAGTAATATGCCTTTCATTCGATTCTTAAGCGTCCTGTGTAACCTACTCAAGATGTTCTTCAAATTTAATTTTTGTTTGATTGTGGCTTTGGTAATAACCCGATTAATTAATTAATATGCTTATACAGCAGACCTGAAACCGCCAAGCAGAAGAGATGTCATAATATAGTAAACTACGATTCTAATGTAGGCTCCTTGTAGATTTCAGTAGAGGACTGTAAACGTTTCGATGGTAATGAGATGAAAAGCATCACTGAGTAAAAAACAAAATACAGATGGTAAACAAATTTTAAGGCATTCGATCACGCACTCTTTTGTTTGATTTTGCTAGTGTCGAAATTGGAAATAATGAAGCCGGGTGCTGGTACATAATAAAACACACTAGAAAAAATATAAATATGGAAGCAGCTGCACAAAATATTTTAGTTCTGCTTTTTAGCCATATATAAGCACATTACAATACGTAGAACTATTATACTACAGACATCATAAGACAATGGGTATAAAAGATACATTAAAGAGAACATCTAAGATTTTCACTAATGACTCCCTGGAGAGCTTAGAGGGTGCAAACAAGGATACAAAAGAAACAACTTCCAAGGGCGCTGAAGCCACCGAAGGCAGCGAGACCGTGGCTGATGGTGCTAAGGAAGATGTTGTAGAAGCTAAAGATGCAGTCAACTCCGAAGTGAAGGACGTTGGTGATAAGATAGAGGAACCCGCTAAGAAGGATGAACCAGAGGTAGAATCCGCTGGAGCCGAGACTAGCAAGAAGGAAGAAATCGTCGATAAAGTTAAGGATACCAAGGAATCAGCAACCGAGAAGGCTAAGGAAACCAAGGAAGCAGTTTCGGATAAAGCCGATGAGTTGGCTAAAGAAGGTGAGAACGCGAAGGCAGAAGTTGAAGACTCCTCTACGAAAGTTGGGAAGGCTACTAAGAAAAACGATATATTCAAGAAGTTCTGGATTAAGTTTAAGAAGCCAGCAAAGAAGGAGACTTCAGCTTGAGTTATCTTCTTGTCGATGTTACAATTAGAAACTTTTAATAAGAGCACCCGTCTTTGACACAGCCGTAGGTGCGAGTGTGCGTGCGATATTATTTTTCCTTGCAACCATTCTGTTTGTTTCCCCCTTAAAACGGTATCAATATTTGGGCTCTATCGCTTCTATTTCTTATTTAATATCTTTTGATCTCAAGTTAGAGGTATATATAAGTGTTCTCTTGCATAACGTGTTGAACTTGCTATCACTAGCAACAACTTTGCTTGCAGACCACTATACTAAGTATATAGCTATACTTTTGATTCTCTCTGTTTTTATCTTAATTTTAATATTGATTAGCCAAAATTTTGTATATTGAAAAACCCAGATCTGTAACTGCTGTCACTCACTTGAAACTGATAAACTGTTTGACCTCGCCTTTGACGATAGTGTGATATTTAATTTCAACTTTGTGTCACGGTTTTCTTCACGACAATTTCTTTTTTGCTTTTTGAAGCAGTCGTTCTGTGGCCCTTTTCCCCTGTGAGCGTTGGCGGTTAAATTGAATCGTTGCACCGAGAAAAGTAAACGACTCAGGTATAGAGTTGGATATCATCTAGCGGCAGAGTAAGCCAGAGGCTAGTTTTATTTAGCCCTTCGTCATTATTGATATCAGATTAAAGGCTGAAAATCTTTGCATTTTCTTAAACTGGATTAGAAAAGAGTAGATCTATTATTTGTGAGCATTTTCAAGTTCCAGTGAAGCCTACGAAAGAAAAAAGGACTAAGGATCTTTGTTTTACTCTAATAATAAATAACTGTTCACTGAGATCAAGAATATGGATTTAAGGGTAGGTAAGAAATACCGTATCGGACGTAAAATTGGTTCAGGATCTTTTGGTGATATCTACCTAGGTACTAATATTATCTCTGGAGAGGAGGTTGCTATTAAGTTAGAAAATACTAAGGCAAAGCATCCTCAGTTGGAGTATGAAGCAAAAGTTTATAAAGCTTTGAGTGGTGGCGTTGGAATTCCATTTGTGAGATGGTACGGTACAGAGTGCGATTATAATGCGATGGTTATAGACCTTTTAGGACCCTCATTAGAAGATTTGTTCAACTATTGTAATCGTAAGTTTACTTATAAAACTGTTTTATTGTTGGCAGATCAATTGATTTGTCGTATTGAATATATTCATGCAAGATGTTTCATTCATAGAGACATTAAACCTGACAACTTTCTAATGGGTATTGGTAGGAGAGGCTCTCAAGTTAATGTTATTGATTTTGGATTGGCTAAAAAGTATAGGGATCCAAGAACTCATTTACATATACCGTATAGAGAAAATAAGAATTTGACTGGTACTGCGAGATATGCATCTGTTAATACTCATTTGGGAATAGAACAGTCAAGGAGAGATGATTTAGAAAGCTTGGGTTACGTTTTGATTTACTTTTGCAGGGGCTCTTTACCGTGGCAAGGTTTGAAGGCAGCAACCAAAAGACAAAAGTACGATAGGATTATGGAAAAAAAGATGACGACACCAAATGATATCTTGACAAAAGGTCTCCCGAAAGAATTTTTGGATTACATGAACTACATCAAAACCTTGCGGTTTGATGACAAGCCGGATTACCCGTATTTAAGAAAAATATTTAGAGATCTATTCAAGAGAGAAAATTATAGGTATGATTATGTATTCGATTGGACTTTGTACAAGTTCCAACAGGAGAAACAGAGAGAACAAGGAAAGGTGATCGAAGATCAACAACCACAACAACTACAACAGCAACAACAAGAACAGGAACAGCAACAAAAGCAACAGCAACAGCAACAGCAACAGCAACAACAACAACAACAACAACAACAACCTTTACAGGCAGCTGCACCACAACCACCAAATCAAAATTTCACTAATTCAGGTCAAGACAATGTTGACCAACGCCAATTAAACCAGCTACAATTTTCTTCACAACATATGCAACAGCCATTGGTTCAGAAGCCAAAATTAAAAATGAATTATCAAAATCAAAGCAGCCCTAGCTTTCATCTTTATACTAGCGCCTCACAAGTTCCTTCCCAAGATGACAAACCAAAAATAATTCGTCGAGAGAACGTCCAACCATCCCCACATAATGGAGATAACCCTGCGTGGATTTAGTTTGGGTTACTGTTGTCATCGTTCTAATTTCTTTCTTCATTATTTTGATTCGAATCTTTCAAATATTTAGATTTAAATGATACACATGCCCAGAATGGTATTAGAATATCAATAATATTGGGAACAATCGAAGAAATCTCCCAATTGAAATATAAATAAGAAACTATGTATGTGTCGAATTATTATTAGATCTTTTGAAGTTCAGATTCTTCACTTATTAAATCGTTGTGGTCTTTATCATTGGAGTAGTCTTTTTTCTCATCAGCACCAGAGTTAAAAACAGCTCCCAAGAAATCAAATATATGTTTACCTTCATCTGAATCCTCTTTTCCTTTAAAAGTGTCTATGAACCCAAAGAAGCCATAAAATACATTCTCCTTTATTTCCTCACCATAAATCTTGTCATAAATGAATTTCATTTTGAATTCATCCATTTCCTTCTCATATTTTAGAAAGTTTATTTTATTATACCCAAATTTCTCCAACATTGAGTTGTAACCGTCATATACCGGGTTTTCTAAAAGCAAGCCTAAGGCAGGAGCCTTAGGTATATTTATCTTCGTCGGACCATAACAATTGTTAATTCTGTCGAGAGGACATCCAGTTCTAATTACTAATACCGCCATAGCAATCATTTTTCTAATTTGATGCAACATAAATGATTGACCATGAATCTTGATAGACACCCACTCGGTACCATCTATGACAAATGGATCGGAGACAGACGATTTTATGATATATCTTCTGGCTGAGGGATCCTTGTAATGTTTACCCAAGGTGAAGTTATGGAAATTGTGAGACCCCTCATATTGATCCATAGCTTGTCTGAATAAATTTAGCCTTTCTTGAGAAACTTTGTAAGACCTTCTCCTTTGATTCTCAATAGCTTTAACAGATTTGATCAACTTTCCAGATTCAGTTATAGTCCCATTTTCATCGTATAACTTTAAAGGTTCCCTTGATTCTCCTAAAGAAGACGAACTTTTAGTCAACAACAGCTCTACACGAATCAATTGATCGGTGGTGATTCCACTTTCTTCGATAGCCAACTTTGTTTTCTGCCACCAGTCATTTCCTTCCTTATCAACTCGAATAATTCCTGGATTCGCTTTGTTTTTGCTATTCATCAAATTACTCAAAACGGATCCTGGTTTTGGAGGCAACAAGCTATAGGTAGGTAACAAGTATTCATATATTCTCGAGGAACACATCTTTCGACAATCAAAAGATTTATTTGTTCTTTCAATTCCCCAAATTCTAATCTGTTCCGGCAATTCCCTATTAATCTTTTCTTTGATATCTTCATCTTCAATGATCAATTTGCAAGAAATAACATTTCCAGCCGCGTGAACTCCCTTATCAGTTCTAGCAGCTCTCATAAATCCGTTCTTTTTCAAGTCGTCAGCATTTTCTGGAGAGATCGCACCTGCTTTTGAAAATGCTTGAAACAAGTCACCTTCAATTGTCTTCACATCAGGGTTGTTTTGAATTTGCATTCCATTGTAGCCCGTACCACAATATCCAATCATACATGCTACCTTTTTTTTAGGTTTCCTCTCAGATTTTGGAAGAGGATTTCCATTTTCGTCTAATCGTGGGACATATTCCCTAAAGATCAGTTAGTATCATTAGTAAAATTATATCATAGCCAAACATACCTACTCGTTCTTATAATCTCTTTCGAGCGTTTTTCTTTGTCTCTTCGAACTATCATCTCGCTTGTCCCCTCTACGAGTACGGGACCATTTGCTTTGTTGGCCCCTTTTATAAGCTGAGTTATCAACCGTGTCATCGTTTTCACTGACAAGCGAGATAGAGCTACTTTGCTTATTTAAATCAATATGCGGTGATTCATTCATTTCCGATATATGAAGTTGAAATGAAAAATGAGCTTTCTTCAAAAAAATTTCTGGAGACTCACAAGTCATCGGATCACGTGACGGGTGATGTGAAAAATTCCAACTCTTCTGAAAGTAAGGTATGAAATACCAATCTTTTAATTGAAAAAAGAATACATTTGTACGTAAACTGATTTGACTATTTCACGATGAGGTCCTTGACTGAAGTTGAGACAAAGGTAGTGTTTGAGAAGTTGGCAAACTATATTGGCAGAAATATAACATTTTTGATCGATAATCCAAACGATCCATACGTTTTCAGATTGCAAAAGGACAGAGTATATTATGTCTCTGAATCTATAGCCAAGCTCGCTACCTCAGTTATGAGACCAAAGCTAATGTCCCTAGGAACTTGCATCGGTAAATTCACAAAGACAGGAAAATTTCGTCTACACATCACAGCATTACCTTACTTGTCCAAATATGCTAAATATAAGATTTGGGTGAAGCAGAATGGCGAAATGCCGTTCATGTATGGAAACCATGTTTTAAAAGCACATATTGGAAGGATGTCTGAAGATATTCCAGAACACGCCGGTATCATAGTTTATTCCATGAGCGATATACCCATCGGTTTTGGAGTAAGTGCCAAATCCACTATTGATGCGAGAAATTTACAGCCTACCGCAATAGTAGCATTTAGACAAGGAGATATTGGAGAATACTTGCGTGACGAAGACAGCCTTTTTACTTAATGTATGCCAGGTTTATATGTATTCAAGAAACACACTAAGAACTGAAGTAAACTTATATATTTTATACGTGACATAATCTATTTACATGAGAAGTATCTTATTAAATCTACATTAGTATGACAATGCAACAGATTTAAGCAAAAAACCCGGATTACCAGACGATATAGAAAAGTAGTTTTGAACTAGCTTTTCAAAATGATCAGGAGAAACTTCATTCTCGAATCCCCCACCTAGTCTTTTAGTCTTCACTTCATCTTCTAACTTATCTAAATTGTTTTGAGCCACTTTGCATGGATACTCTCTGGCTGTCATAATACCGGCGGATTTCCAAAATTGTAACAAATTTCTAGTGTGCTCTTTTGAAAGATTTTTGATGATCAAGCTTTTGATTCCACCATTTTGGAGCATTGCGTTTGCAACACCATAGTCGCAGACATCGCCTTTAGTATATGGATCATATTCCAGCAAACCAAGTCCAACTGGAAGGGTTAAACTTCTGGCAACATCATTAGTTTCAGCTATCAAAACGCCGCCCTTCGAAAATTCCAAAGTTCCAGCAGCAACACGCATGAAAAAATCTCCCAT